GCTATTACGAGATTTGATGTGCTCATATGTAATCATTTCGTAACTCAGCATAAGGTATATCAACCAGCAGAGCAAACTAGGGTATCGAAATCAGTTGTAAGGTTCTCGACTCACTCTTAGGTGAAGCGAACGAATCCGTCCTCTGTGCGTTTGTTACTATTGATCCTTTAATTTGTATCTTTTAAGAAAGATGCGCGGCAACCCGTTCCGCTTGATAGCACTAGTAGGCAGGTTGATGGTCGAAATGTAATCAAACAATATGTTTCACGATGATGGAACACGATCTGTCCAATTGTTTGTCCCCAGACAACGCTACACGTTTGATAGTCTATCGCTTGGCTCGAATGAATTCCAGCGGTGGCAACCTCAAAAGTCAAAAGGGGTGAGAGCTTACCTGAAGGTGTTACCCAGCTATGAATATGTACACGCGGTGTATATATACCTTCGAGAGCGCCTCAACCGGTACGCTGTCTGCAGCGGGGCTGCCGTAGCTTTGCGCTTTGAGCAAACGTAACTTAGGTCACCGACCTTTCGTTCTATACTTAGAACAAGTACGAGCTAGCGGGTTGCAATCCGCTACCTCCAAGAGTACTCAAAATCTTTGCCAAGGTAAAGACGCTCTTCCGTTCAGAATTGACGCTGTATTTAATTGTTTTAGTTGCGGCAAAGCCGTCATATCTAAAACCTCAGGTTTTCTTAATTGATGTAGTGATAATTAATTCTATAGTATAACCTAATTAATATGCATTACTACTGGCAATTTTGCCTAGTAGTGGCTTCTTGATACGGCGTAGCCATACCATTGTGTGATTACACCAACTTGTGTAATCCATACCTATGTGCGGTCACACCATCTTGTGTGACCTGTCCATTCATAGAGGGGTACGTGTAACCCGCGCCACTCTCCCCTATCAAAACTGTGAATATCCACAATTCATATTTAACTGTCGCCTCGTATGAGGATTGCGTGTCTGAGCCCTGTGTCTATGACACGTAAAACACCGAGTCAGCCGGTTCCGAGGGCGCCCGCTGGTAAAGCCGATTGTCATCTTCTGCACGGGGTACAGTAGGTCCATCCCTTCACAGAAAGCGCATCCCAAGTCGTCGGCAACCGAGCACCACACACACCGCCCGCCACGGGCGACATATTTGTTCGTCGAGGATTCGGAGGAAGTCAACTACGAGTCGAATACTTCCATTCCAGCACGGGGAGACGAGAAGACAAGGTGCGCCCAACGGCGCGGCGTGAGCGCTGATCGAACCTTGCGGACACCGAGTCCGTTCGTCGAGATCTCAGCTTTCTCGGGTAAGTGATATTATTACCAATCACCTCGACGAGGCACAGGAGCAGCGTGGAAGGCCCACGGGCGGGATTCATGTGTTTGTATCCACGTTCGATCCTCACTCCCGGCTCTCGCTTGGCCGATCCCGCTACTGACGTGGAAGACGCGACCTTTTAGTCTACATAGTCGGCCCCCCGGCCACTACACAAGCTGAGCTTGATCAGCGGAAAGCTCTCCAATTTTGATTTTTGGTACCTAAAAAAGTTCCAATGGATTGGTACCGCGCTCGACTTCTAGCTCAGAGAGAAAGCGCTCCTATACCCGCAATGTGGTCTATTCCTGGTGGTGCTCGGCCCTGGTAAAATCGCTGCAGATAATGAAGAGCTCTTTGAGCGATGGGTTCTGCGGCACTGGACACTTTCCTTGCTGTATTCCTTACAGCGAAGCCACAAGGAAGTGAACGTGTGCGTTGAGCGCAATCTCCTATTTAGGTTTGCCAAACTTAAGGTGCAATGCCGTCTTTCTGTGCATCGTCGCCCTGCGATACATGGAATAATCAATCACGCTCCCGTGAGCTCTGTGGTTTCTTACACGGGTGCGACTACAACGGCAGAAGCACAGGATCATACATTGAGCTCAGCTCATGGCCCTCCGGCTTCCTGGGCTTTGGCCGAGAAGAGCGGTACGCAAGACGACGCCAAGCGTCATGATGCTTCTAATCATAAGCGTCTCCGACGTCTGAATAGTATTGACGAAGTGGCACCTCAAATTCCCTTGGAGTTTGGGTATCCCCGCCACTTCGCAAAATTATTGGGCTCGACCCTGTCGTCGTCGACCAACAAGGCGTTTCATGTGGTAGGGACACCACCATTCTCATTGATAAGAGTCAGCGGCGGACTATGACGACGCCGTCTGGTGACTCGCAATGGTCTTCGAGCTTAGGAGGACAGAGTCCGTCGTCGATGGCACTCCGTCGAGCATGTTTCTAAAGTCACCTTCCTCTGTGCGGAGGACCTCCAAAGTCTGGGATCACTTTGTGCACAAACTGCCTCACGTTGAGAATTATCGCGCTCTGTCGGAGCGGCTTAAAAGTCATCGATCAGGTGAATGCATCACTTCGTGCGACGGTGGAGCACCTGAGGCCGTTGGAAACGGAAATTGTTGCACTCCGTGCTCAGAATCAGTTGCTGGTCTGGGTTCTGGGCGGCCAGGCGTCTTTACGTGTTGCCCCGTCGCCAATGCTTCCGCGTTCTCTGAGCCGGATCCTGGTACGGCTTAAGCAAACCCACAGAAAACACCGGGTGGGTGTGCGTCCTTCTCAGATGGTTTGGCGTATACGCAAGACCTCGCTCGGTCACGACCTTAAAATATTCAATCAACCGTGGATGAAACTTTGTATAAAAGACACTAAATACTGTGTAGGAAGGTTTCAGCATTTGATTAAAACAGATCTTCCACCTCAGAGTCTTTCACATTTCTTCTGCATATTCTTTGTGCATGTCTTGGCTTTCAGCCATCGCATCGCGAACATGTCGTAGGACACTCAGTCTAATAGACAGGAGGTCATCGAATTCTTTACGGGCAGTGAGGAGGCTGACATCAGCTAGCCGTTTGGCTATTCTTCCTTCACCAAGCCCCGAGCCATGGGATGTCGGTGTCAGCGGGACGCAAGGATTAACAAGCTCATACACGTAGAACGGTGTGTAGCCGGTAAGTGAATGCACTACATAATTCAGAGCAAACTCTACGAGTGGCAATATGGCGCTCTGGAGCTTCGGCGTCCCAGCGCAGACACTGCGAAGAACGTCTGCGATGACGCAATTCACCCTTTCGGTTTGACCGTTGGTATGCAGATGATCCGCTGTCGACATATCCAGCTTGGTGTCTAGCACCTTGAAGATAGTAAAATTCCGTGAAACGGGGGGCTCTATCAGAGACAATCGACTCTGGGAGTCCGTGTTGTCGGAAA